CATATATAAAATATAAATGAATGTGAGCAAACTTTAATATTTACAAAACAAAATATAATAGTAAAACATATAAAATAAATGAAACTTCTAAAATCATCTAATGAAATAATAAAAAATTGTAAAATAATAAACCCCTCTTGAGAATTTGTTTCGTAATTAAATGTCTATAAACGATATGTAGAAAAATTTGTTGACTTTAGTATATATACATATACATATATTATGTATATGTATGTGAATTTTATGAGAAAATAAATTAAATAAAAAATCAGAGCTATCTATCATACAATATCATACAAATACAACATCAATTAACATCCATCAACATGATGGATACATCATACAGAATTTCAATATCAATTAACTAGGCAAATGTTGCTCCAGATTATAAATTATTTAGACTCGATAGCTCACACACACACAAATTGTTGCCATAAATTGAATAGCCACAAGAACAGCAGCTCTTTGCTTTCTGTTCGGGGCCATAACTTTTATGCATTTTCGTAATTAATTTGCTGCTTTACTGTCGCATGATCGATAAGCGCCTAGCGAGAATAACAGCGATAATGATTTGCTTTCATAAATACCAGTCCTACGATTTGGTACTGAAAAGACCCAGGTTTCACTTTGGCCATAAACCTTTTAGTTATGGCACCCCCCGAGATCTAATCAGTACTCGATAGTTTGCCATAAAGCGGACCTATCACGCTTTAAGCTTATCAGCTCGCCGTATGTCAGTGTGGGGGGCAGTGCATAAATACAGGTGAGACTAATCCGCAGTCGCAATCGCCATTGCACCGCCATGATGAGCAGAACGTTTACAGTCTGCTGCCTGCTGGGCCTTGCACTGCCCGCATTAGCCGAGCTGGGCTGGTGGCGTTCAGCGCAGTTCTATCAGATCTATCCGCGATCCTTCAAGGACAGCGATGGCGACGGGATTGGCGACCTGGAAGGTGAGGAATTCAATTATTCAAAATTTGCCGATTTTTAGTCAAATTGTTTCGGCCAGGCATTACGCAGCAGCTGAGCTATCTGAAAGAGATTGGCGTGACGGCCACTTGGCTCTCGCCGATTTTCACATCTCCGATGGCAGACTTTGGCTATGATGTGGCTGATTTTTACAACATCGACCCAATGTTTGGCACCATGGAGGACTTTGATAAATTGCTGGCGCGCGCCAATCAGCTGAACATCAAAATCATCCTGGACTTTGTGCCAAATCATTCGTCCGATGAGTGCGACTGGTTCATTCGCTCGGCGGCCGGCGAGGAGGAGTACAAGGACTTCTATGTCTGGCACACCGGCAAGGTGGTCAATGGCATCAGGCAGCCGCCGACTAACTGGATCAGCGTGTTCCGTGGCTCGCAGTGGACCTGGCACGAGGGTCGCCAGGCCTACTATCTGCATCAGTTCCTGGCCAAGCAGCCGGATCTCAATTACCGCAATCCCAAGGTCGTTGAGGCCATGAAGGATGTGCTCCGCTTCTGGCTGCGCAAGGGTGTCTACGGCTTCCGCATCGACGCGGTGCCCCATGTCTTCGAGATTGCGCCCGATAAGGATGGCAACTACCCGGATGAACCCCGCAATGAGTACGTCAGCGATCCCGAAGATTACTCGTTCTTGCAGCACATCTATACCACGAATCAGCCAGAGACCATTGATCTGGTCTATCAATTCCGTGAGGTGATCGAGGAGATGAACGCGGAGCTGGGCGGCGACGATCGTGTGCTCCTCACCGAGGCCTACGCCCCGCTGGATGTCCTGATGCAGTACTATGGCAACGCCACCCACAATGGCTCTCAGATTCCGTTCAACTTTGAGCTGATCTCGAATCTGAATATCAACTCCAATGCCTATCAATATTCCGAGCTGGTGCACAACTGGCTGGACAACATGCCCGAGGGCCAATCGGCCAACTGGGTGCTGGGCAATCACGACCAGAGCCGCATTGGCTCCCGCCTGGGCGCCGATCGCATCGATTCCATCAACATGCTGTTGCTGACGCTGCCCGGCATCAGTGTCACCTACCAGGGCGAGGAGCTGGGCATGACCGATGTCTGGATCAGCTGGGAGGATACCATCGATCCGCAGGCCTGCCAGTCCAATCCCAACGAGTACGAGCGCCTCACCCGCGATCCAGTGCGCACCCCATTCCAGTGGAACGACCAGCCCCTAGCCGGCTTCACCAACGGCTCCGAGACCTGGCTGCCAGTCGCCAGTGACTACAAGCTGGTGAATGTGAAGCGGGAGCGCGGCATCCCACTCAGCCACCTGAATATCTACAAGCAGCTGCGTACTCTGCGCGACTTGCCCACTCTGAAGCATGGAGATGCTACTGTGAATGCGATTGGACCCAATGTGCTGGCCATCAAACGGTGAGTAATTGTAGTATTTTTTAATATTCATAGTGAAATGTCGTACATAACTTATATTAATCTCAGTGATTTGTGACTTGAAGATTTTTAGTATTTTTTTAGTATTTGTAATATTTTTTAGTATTTTCAGAAATTGTGTTATCTTTTAATATTTTTCTACCTGCAACACTCTACAGGGTGAAAAGTTAAGATACATGTTTGCATAACTTAATAGTTATAATTAACTAACTATTGCATAACTCAGAGGTGGGCATTTTATGTAGTGTTTAGTATTGATAATCATTTTTAGTATTTTTAGTATTTTTTCCAGTATTTTCGGTATTTTCGGTATTTTTTAGTATATCCAATCATAGTAATTTCATATCATCCACCTAAAGGTTGAAAAGTCGCTCATAACTGTTATTAGTCTCAGCGATGATGCCGAGTCTGTTATTAATAGTATTGTATTAATATTTTATTATAATGTTGCAGTATTTTGCAGTATTTTTCAGTATTTTTCATTATTTTCAGTATTTTTAGTGTTTTTGTAATAATATAATAATATCTATCTGCCTACAGCTCTCTACAGGGTGAAAAGTTAAGATACATACATAATTATTATTAATCTCAAAGGTGGGCATTTCTAGTAGTGTTTAGTATTGATTAGCATTTTTAGTATTTTAAAGTATTTTTTCAGTATTTTTTTAGTATTTTTAGTATTTTTAGTATATGCAGTCATAGTCATTTCATATCACCACCTAAAGGGTGAAAAGTAGCTCAGAACTGTTAGTAGTCTTAGCGATGATCCGAAATTTTTATTTTTAGTATTGTTTTAATACTTTATTCTAATTTTGCAGAATTTTTGCAGTATTTTCAGTATAATCAATAATATAATAATATCTATTTACCTACAGCTCTCTACAGGGTGAAAAGTCTTACATAACTGTCATTAATCTCAGCGATGATGTCGAGTCGGTTAATCTGGATGCTGTGTTCGCTGGGCTCACAGCCGAGCTGAAATACGTTGTGGTTAGCGAGAGAAGTGTGCGGCGCAAAGAGTAAGTTAGATAGTTTACTGAATACCAAATCTCTTGATTTTATCTGCTCTTCTTCTTGCTCTTCTAGTGATGTTACCTTTGCCAATTCGGTGCTGCTGATGCCCAAGGAAGGCGTTGTCCTTGCCACTGTTTGAGGAGTATTAGCTAGGAAGAGTTCTTTCTATAAGCTTAATTTGTTTAGCTAATAAGCGAATTGATTCTATTGTCAAGAAAAGATTATAGAATTAAAGATCATAAAAACGACAAATAACTGTGCATTGGTCTCTTTATCAGCTTATTAGGTTTAAGACCTCAATTAAGATTAACAATTGCTTCGATTGAAGCACTTAAATAGTGTCAAAGCTCATTAAAAACTGCTTTTATAGTTCCACAAGCTGTTATCATTGTTGTGAAATAAAATCTGCAAAATAATCATAATTCCTTCTTTTTTTGGCAGATTGCCTGATATAAGTATTATCAACTTGATTATTCATATCTATGTGAATAAAGTATGAGTTATGTTAAGGCTCATAAAATCAACCTATCGCTTTCCATTATTTCTTTTATTCACAGGGCATAAAATGATTTCGAGTAAATACCACTAATAATGA